TTTTATTACATATTTTATAATTTTTTTATTTTACATCTTCGGGACCTTGGTCTCCTCATTTTGTTCTTCATTTTGTCGAGCTTGCCCAACATCATCTTCTTTTTTTTATTTTTAAATTCGTTTTTTCCATTTTAATTCGTTGATTTTTTAATTTTACATTTTATCAAAAATAATAAAACACTGTGGTCTATTCCAATCTCCAACGTTTGAGACACCTCCTTCTCTTTTAACCATATATCTAACGAAATAAAATAGCCGTTAAATTCAAGGGTTCAAAACGCACTTAATATGGCCATTAATTATTTATTTATCTTTTTTTATTTTATTTTCTTTTTATTTATTTTATTATATATTTTATAATTTTTTTATTTTTCATCTTCGGGACCTTCGTCGCCTCATTTTGACTTCATTTTGTCCAGCTTGCCCATCATCATCTTATTTTTTGTTTAGTTTTCAATTCGTTTTTTTCCATTTTAATTCATTAATTTTTTAATTTTATATTTTATATTTTTTTTTATCTGTTCTTCCGTTCTTGATTTATAAGTGGTTTATGGTTTATAAGTGGTCTTTCTTTAAAAAAAAAAAAAGACCAAAAAAAAAGAACCCCCAGAAATATATTTTTTTTTTGGAAAAACTTACCATCAGACGACTGGCCTTGAAGACCACCACGATTATTTAAATCTTTTAAATCACTCCACAAGTTCTAAGACATTTTTAAAATTAATTTAATTTATTTCACTTTTCTTTATATTATTATTTTTTTTTGATTTTTTTCTCTCACATGTGAATCGTGGAACATATAATACGACTTTCTTTTATATATATAGATAGAAGAAGATAGATTAACTTAATACGCATAATATAAAGTAATTCAAAACTATAATCACCAAAAATAAATTCATAAATTTGTTAATATCAGTTTGCAATATCAATACAAATTTAAGAATTCAAATCTAATAAAAAATATGAAGAAATATGGAGCAACTCTATAATATAAATAATTGTTGATAATAATTCGTATTGTCAAATGTGTGTTCCTTACCTAGAAAGTTTCAGCTTTTTATCTTCAAAAACACGAAAGTTGGGTCATTTCCGATCGTTCAGTTATATGGCAGCTATAAGATATAGTCGGCCGATCCTTATGAAATTTGGCATGTCGTAATGTGTTGCCAAAAATAGCTCTCATGTCAAATTTGAACGCTGTAACTCTAAAAATACCAAAGTTATACCATTTCCGATCAATCAGTTATATGGCAGCTATAGGATATAGTCGGCCGATCCGGGCCGTTCCGACTTATATACTGCGTGCAAAGGAAAGAAGGGTGTGTGCAAAGTTTCAAGTCGATAGCTTTAAAACTGAGAGACTAGTTCGCGTAGAAACGGACAGACGGACATCAAGAATATATATACTTTATAGGGTCGGAGATGTCTCCTTCACTGCGTTGCACACTTTTGGACAAAATTATAATACCCTCTGCAAGGGTATAAAAAAAAAAGACAAAGTTTTCTTCAAAATGTTAATCTTACATCCAACAGCTTTTCCACATTCTCGCAGTAATGACTGTGCGAGAGCATGGCCCTGTGCAGGCCGGCGTGGGACTGGGAGTCAAGCAAAAAGTCCACAATGTGCCTTAACTGCGCCACGTTCCAGTGCTTAAGACAGTCCTCCATGCCGGCGAAGGCTGTACGGAGGAAGGTGTGGAGTTCCCGCTGCTCAAAGGCATGAACCTCCTCCGAGAGGATAATTAGCATTTTGTAAGCCAGTAGACCATAGTTTTGGATGCGGCGACAGAATCCAGAGATGTTTACAATCCTTTGGAAGAGGAACAGCACGGCAAAGTTCTTGTAGCAGAGGTTAACCAGAATAGAAAGAGCTAGCAGGGCGTGCGAGTTCTCCTCCTCGTCGGCCTTGCTGGAGGAGGTGCCGTTCCCGTTGTCAGAGCCATCCTCTACTCCGTGTACTATCTCTGCCAGGTGCTCTAGCAGGGCTGCCAGGTAGGGCTCCTCCCAGTCGATTTGTATGCCGTAGGTCAAATCCTGCAGAAGTACCAGCAGCCGGTGGACACGTTCCGTCCGCTGGGTGCGGCGCAGAATCATTCCCAGCAGCGGCACAAAACAGAACTTGACCACAATGGCCCGGCGAGCCTCCAGGTTGCGACTACAGTGCTGGATGAGCGCCACGCAGGACCAAAGGACTTCCGCCCCTGAGCCCTCGGTGTCTAAGGCGCCCATCAGAGCGTGCAGGTCCACATAGAAGCGGGCTAGTTCCAGATTTCCCGGCAGGGGAGCAAAATGATGCGGCTGCACCTTGGTGCCGAGCAGTGCCACACTCCGCTGCACATACACAAGGCTCTCTTCGGATCGCTGCTGCTGGAAGGCGGCCGCCCGACAGCTGAATTCCCTTACATATCCAATGGCCAGGGCGGCATTTGCGTCCTGCTGCGTCTGCAAAGGCGAGTCCTGGCCGGAATTCTCATTACCCGTGTGGTTCCGTAGCGTGGCCATCGGTTCGGTCTCACTCGAAATCTCCCCGTTCAAAATGCAATTTGCACAAAACACGCAAAACACAAAAAAATGGTTAATTTCGAAAGTTGTTGATCGCTTGGCGCTTGGCGATTAAATATCGAAATCGAAATCGGTCATCGTTATCTGATCTCAGCAACACTAAAGAGTACAGAGTTGGCAGCTTTCCCAATGCATTAGTTTGGTGTATCGCGCTTATTGGCGCATCCTCTTATTTCTGAGATAATGCTCAATACAGTGTAGGGGCAATTTTTCAACCCCATTTTTAAGCTACTTAAAGAGTGAAGAACCCGCTCAAAGTAAGAAAAAACAATAGTTTATTCAATTCTTAACAATTCTAGTGTTTATTTGATTAAATTTAGTGGCTAAATACGGAAATAATTGAAAAACAAAATATTCGTTGCTGTGTTCCAATTCCACCGTTCCACTTCGACGCTAACTGAGCGACGCTAATTTGACGTACATTTATTCCAAACCAAGAAGGCTTTGCATTCGATTTTCTGGCCAAAATGTGGGGTATATAAGGGGCACAAGCATTTCTTTTCAATCAGTCGGAGCTCAGCCGCTCAAGGAGCCACAACTATTTTATTTTTTGTATTCTTTTTATTTTTATTTTTTTCTTTTCGACTTCTCTGATATTTATTTATTTTCTCATTTTAAATTAAACAATTAACGATGAACATTTCATTGTCGAATCAACGGCATTCTGATTTTCATTTATTTTCGTCTATATTTAATTTTTTTATTTTTCAACCATATGGGTGATCTGGAGACGATGATCTCGACGATGATATGGATCTTATACATATATTTATTTTTATTTTATGCCATTTTTTATTTTACATTTTATTAAAAATGATAAATGACTGTGGTCTTTTCCAATCTCCAACGTTTAAAACAACCCCTTCTCTTATTTATCCTTTTTTTGCTTTTTATTTATTTTATTACATATTTTATAATTTTTTTATTTTACATCTTCGGGACCTTGGTCTCCTCATTTTGTTCTTCATTTTGTCGAGCTTGCCCAACATCATCTTCTTTTTTTTATTTTTAAATTCGTTTTTTCCATTTTAATTCGTTGATTTTTTAATTTTACATTTTATCAAAATAATAATAAAACACTGTGGTCTATTCCAATCTCCAACGTTTGAGACACCTCCTTCTCTTTTAACCATATATCTAACGAAATAAAATAGCCGTTAAATTCAAGGGTTCAAAACGCACTTAATATGGCCATTAATTATTTATTTATCTTTTTTTATTTTATTTTCTTTTTATTTATTTTATTATATATTTTATAATTTTTTTATTTTTCATCTTCGGGACCTTCGTCGCCTCATTTTGACTTCATTTTGTCCAGCTTGCCCATCATCATCTTATTTTTTGTTTAGTTTTCAATTCGTTTTTTTCCATTTTAATTCATTAATTTTTTAATTTTATATTTTATATTTTTTTTATCTGTTCTTCCGTTCTTGATTTATAAGTGGTTTATGGTTTATAAGTGGTCTTTTTTAAAAAAAAAAAGACCGAAAAAAAAGAACCCCCAGAAATATATTTTTTTTTTTGGAAAAACTTACCATCAGACGACTGGCCTTGAAGACCACCACGATTATTTAAATCTTTTAAATCACTCCACGAGTTCTCTGACATTTATAAAATTATTTTAATTTATTTCACTTTTCTTTATATTATTATTATTTTTTTTGATTTTTTTTCTCACATGTGAATCGTTGAACATATAACACGACTTTCTTTTATATATATAGATAGAAGAAGATAGATTAACTTAATACGCATAATATAAGTAATTCAAAACTATAAACACCAAAAATAAATTCATAAATTTGTTAATATCAGTTTGCAATATCAATACAAATTTAAGAATTCAAATCAATAAAAAATATGAAGAAATATGGAGCAACTTATAATATAAATAATTGTTGATAAAAATTCGCGTATTGTACAAATGTGTGGCGTTCCAGCTTTCTATCTTCAAAAACACGAAAGTTGGTTCATTTCCGATCGTTCAGTTATATGGCAGCTATAAGATATAGTCGGCCGATCCTTATGAAATTTGGCATGTCGTAATGTGTTGCCAAAAATAGCTCTCATGTCAAATTTGAACGCTGTAACTCTAAAAACACCAAAGTTATACCATTTCCGATCAATCAGTTATATGGCAGCTATAGGATATAGTCGGCCGATCCGGGCCGTTCCGACTTATATACTGCGTGCAAAGGAAAGAAGGGTGTGTGCAAAGTTTCAAGTCGATAGCTTTAAAACTGAGAGACTAGTTCGCGTAGAAACAGAGAGGACAGACGGACAGACGGACATGCTCATATCAACTCAGGGTGATCCTGATCAAGAATATATATACTTTATAGGGTCGGAGATGTCTCCCTTCACTGCGTTGCACACTTTTGGACAAAATTATAATACCCTCTGCAAGGGTATAAAAAAAAAAGACAAAGTTTTCTTCAAAATGTTAATCTTACATCCAACAGCTTTTCCACATCCTCGCAGTAATGACTGTGCGAGAGCATGGCCCTGTGCAGGCCGGCGTGGGACTGGGAGTCAAGCAAAAAGTCCACAATGTGCCTTAACTGCGCCACGTTCCAGTGCTTAAGACAGTCCTCCATGCCGGCGAAGGCTGTACGGAGGAAGGTGTGGAGTTCCCGCTGCTCAAAGGCATGAACCTCCTCCGAGAGGATAATTAGCATTTTGTAAGCCAGTAGACCATAGTTTTGGATGCGGCGACAGAATCCAGAGATGTTTACAATCCTTTGGAAGAGGAACAGCACGGCAAAGTTCTTGTAGCAGAGGTTAACCAGAATAGAAAGAGCTAGCAGGGCGTGCGAGTTCTCCTCCTCGTCGGCCTTGCTGGAGGAGGTGCCGTTCCCGTTGTCAGAGCCATCCTCTACTCCGTGTACTATCTCTGCCAGGTGCTCTAGCAGGGCTGCCAGGTAGGGCTCCTCCCAGTCGATTTGTATGCCGTAGGTCAAATCCTGCAGAAGTACCAGCAGCCGGTGGACACGTTCCGCCCGCTGGGTGCGGCGCAGAATCATTCCCAGCAGCGGCACAAAACAGAACTTGACCACAATGGCCCGGCGAGCCTCCAGGTTGCGACTACAGTGCTGGATGAGCGCCACGCAGGACCAAAGGACTTCCGCCCCTGAGCCCTCGGTGTCTAAGGCGCCCATCAGAGCGTGCAGGTCCACATAGAAGCGGGCTAGTTCCAGATTTCCCGGCAGGGGAGCAAAATGATGCGGCTGCACCTTGGTGCCGAGCAGTGCCACACTCCGCTGCTCTCGACGCGCGCGGCCGCTGTTCTTCATATCAATGCCCATTTTCCTGCGTTGCAAAGGCGAGTCCTGGCCGGAATTCTCATTACCCGTGTGGTTCCGTAGCGTGGCCATCGGTTCGGTCTCACTCGAAATCTCCCCGTTCAAAATGCAATTTGCACAAAACACGCAAAACACAAAAAAATGGTTAATTTCGAAAGTTGTTGATCGCTTGGCGCTTGGCGATTAAATATCGAAATCGAAATCGGTCATCGTTATCTGATCTCAGCAACACTAAAGAGTACAGAGTTGGCAGCTTTCCCAATGCATTAGTTTGGTGTATCGCGCTTATTGGCGCATCCTCTTATTTCTGAGATAATGCTCAATACAGTGTAGGGGCAATTTTTCAACCCCATTTTTAAGCTACTTAAAGAGTGAAGAACCCGCTCAAAGTAAGAAAAAACAATAGTTTATTCAATTCTTAACAATTCTAGTGTTTATTTGATTAAATTTAGTGGCTAAATACGGAAATAATTGAAAAACAAAATATTCGTTGCTGTGTTCCAATTCCACCGTTCCACTTCGACGCTAACTGAGCGACGCTAATTTGACGTACATTTATTCCAAACCAAGAAGGCTTTGCATTCGATTTTCTGGCCAAAATGTGGGGTATATAAGGGGCACAAGCATTTCTTTTCAATCAGTCGGAGCTCAGCCGCTCAAGGAGCCACAACTATTTTATTTTTGTATTCTTTTTATTTTTAATTTTTTCTTTTCGACTTCTCTGATATTTATTTATTTTCTCATTTTAAATTAAACAATTAACGATGAACATTTCATTGTCGAATCAACGGCATTCTGATTTTCATTTATTTTCGTCTATATTTAATTTTTTTTATTTTTCAACCATATGGGTGATCTGGAGACGATGATCTCGACGATGATATGGATCTTATACATATATTTATTTTTATTTTATGCCATTTTTTATTTTACATTTTATTAAAAATGATAAATGACTGTGGTCTTTTCCAATCTCCAACGTTTAAAACAACCCCTTCTCTTATTTGTCCTTTTTTTGCTTTTTATTTATTTTATTACATATTTTATAATTTTTTTATTTTACATCTTCGGGACCTTGGTCTCCTCATTTTGTTCTTCATTTTGTCGAGCTTGCCCAACATCATCTTCTTTTTTTATTTTTAAATTCGTTTTTTCCATTTTAATTCGTTGATTTTTTAATTTTACATTTTATCAAAAATAATAAAACACTGTGGTCTATTCCAATCTCCAACGTTTGAGACACCTCCTTCTCTTTTAACCATATATCTAACGAAATAAAATAGCCGTTAAATTCAAGAGTTCAAAACGCACTTAATATGGCCATTAATTATTTATTTATCTTTTTTTATTTTATTTTCTTTTTATTTATTTTATTATATATTTTATAATTTTTTTATTTTTCATCTTCGGGACCTTCGTTGCCTCATTTTGTTCTTCATTTTGTCCAGCTTGCCCATCATCATCTTATTTTTTGTTTAGTTTTCAATTCGTTTTTTTCTATTTTAATTCATTAATTTTTTAATTTTTATTTTTTATATTTTTTTTAATCTGTTCTTTTGTTCTTGATTTATAAGTGGTTTATGGTTTATAAGTAGTCTTTTTAAAAAAAAAAGACCAAAAAAAATTGAACCCCAGAAATATATTTTTTTTTTGGAAAAACTTACCATCAGACGACTGGCCTTGAAGACCACCACGATTATTTAAATCTTTTAAATCACTCCACGAGTTCTCAGACATTTTTAAAATTATTTTAATTTATTTCACTTTTCTTTATATTATTATTTTTTTTTTTTGATTTTTTTTTCTCTCACATGTGAATCGTTGAACATATAACACGACTTTCTTTTATATATATAGATAGAAGAAGATAGATTAACTTAATACGCATAATATAAGTAATTCAAAACTATAAACACCAAAAATAAATTCATAAATTTGTTAATATCAGTTTGCAATATCAATACAAATTTAAGAATTCAAATCAATAAAAAATATGAAGAAATATGGAGCAACTTATAATATAAATAATTGTTGATAATAATTCGCGTATTGTACAAATGTGTGGCGTTCCAGCTTTCCAATAGAAAGTTCCAGCTTTCTATCTTCAAAAACACGAAAGTTGGGTCATTTCCGATCGTTCAGTTATATGACAGCTATAGGATATAATCGGCCGATCCTTATGAAATTTGGCATGTCGTAATGTTTTCCAAAAATAGCACTCATGTCAAATTTGAACTCTCTAACTCTTAAAACACCGAAGTTATACCATTTCCGATCAATCAGTTATATGGCAGCTAGAGGATATAGTCGGCCGATCCGGGTCGTTCCGACTTATATACTGCGTGCAAAGAAAAGAGGAGTGTGTGCAAAGTTTCAAGTCGATAGCTTTAAAACTGAGAGACTAGTTCGCGTAGAAACAGACAGACGGACAGACGGACAGACGGACATGCTCATATCAACTCAGGAGGTGATCCTGATCAAGAATATATATACTTTATAGGGTCGGAGATGTCTCCTTCACTGCGTTGCACACTTTTGGACAAAATTATAATACCCTCTGCAAGGGTATAAAAAAAAAAAAGACAAAGTTTTCTTCAAAATGTTAATCTTACATCCAACAGCTTTTCCACATCCTCGCAGTAATGACTGTGCGAGAGCATGGCCCTGTGCAGGCCGGCGTGGGACTGGGAGTCAAGCAAAAAGTCCACAATGTGCCTTAACTGCGCCACGTTCCAGTGCTTAAGACAGTCCTCCATGCCGGCGAAGGCTGTACGGAGGAAGGTGTGGAGTTCCCGCTGCTCAAAGGCATGAACCTCCTCCGAGAGGATAATTAGCATTTTGTAAGCCAGTAGACCATAGTTTTGGATGCGGCGACAGAATCCAGAGATGTTTACAATCCTTTGGAAGAGGAACAGCACGGCAAAGTTCTTGTAGCAGAGGTTAACCAGAATAGAAAGAGCTAGCAGGGCGTGCGAGTTCTCCTCCTCGTCGGCCTTGCTGGAGGAGGTGCCGTTCCCGTTGTCAGAGCCATCCTCTACTCCGTGTACTATCTCTGCCAGGTGCTCTAGCAGGGCTGCCAGGTAGGGCTCCTCCCAGTCGATTTGTATGCCGTAGGTCAAATCCTGCAGAAGTACCAGCAGCCGGTGGACACGTTCCGCGCGCTGGGTGCGGCGCAGAATCATTCCCAGCAGCGGCACAAAACAGAACTTGACCACAATGGCCCGGCGAGCCTCCAGGTTGCGACTACAGTGCTGGATGAGCGCCACGCAGGACCAAAGGACTTCCGCCCCTGAGCCCTCGATGTCTAAGGCGCCCATCAGAGCGTGCAGGTCCACATAGAAGCGGGCTAGTTCCAGATTTCCCGGCAGGGGAGCAAAATGATGCGGCTGCACCTTGGTGCCGAGCAGTGCCACACTCCGCTGCATACACTCTCATTACCCGTGTGGTTCCGTAGCGTGGCCATCGGTTCGGTCTCACTCGAAATCTCCCCGTTCAAAATGCAATTTGCACAAAACACGCAAAACACAAAAAAATGGTTAATTTCGAAAGTTGTTGATCGCTTGGCGCTTGGCGATTAAATATCGAAATCGAAATCGGTCATCGTTATCTGATCTCAGCAACACTAAAGAGTACAGAGTTGGCAGCTTTCCCAATGCATTAGTTTGGTGTATCGCGCTTATTGGCGCATCCTCTTATTTCTGAGATAATGCTCAATACAGTGTAGGGGCAATTTTTCAACCCCATTTTTAAGCTACTTAAAGAGTGAAGAACCCGCTCAAAGTAAGAAAAAACAATAGTTTATTCAATTCTTAACAATTCTAGTGTTTATTTGATTAAATTTAGTGGCTAAATACGGAAATAATTGAAAAACAAAATATTCGTTGCTGTGTTCCAATTCCACCGTTCCACTTCGACGCTAACTGAGCGACGCTAATTTGACGTACATTTATTCCAAACCAAGAAGGCTTTGCATTCGATTTTCTGGCCAAAATGTGGGGTATATAAGGGGCACAAGCATTTCTTTTCAATCAGTCGGAGCTCAGCCGCTCAAGGAGCCACAACTATTTTATTTTTTGTATTCTTTTTATTTTTATTTTTTTCTTTTCGACTTCTCTGATATTTATTTATTTTCTCATTTTAAATTAAACAATTAACGATGAACATTTCATTGTCGAATCAACGGCATTCTGATTTTCATTTATTTTCGTCTATATTTAATTTTTTTTATTTTTCAACCATATGGGTGATCTGGAGACGATGATCTCGACGATGATATGGATCTTATACATATATTTATTTTTATTTTATGCCATTTTTATACCCTTGCAGAGGGTATTATAATTTTGGTCAAAAGGGGCAACGCCGGGAAGGGGAAAACCCCCCCCCCAAAAAAAATATTGTATTCTTGATCAGGATCACCTCCTGAGTTGATATAAGCATGTCCGTCTGTCCGTCTGTCTGTCCGTCTGTCTGTCTGTTTCTACGCGAACTAGTCTCTCAGTTTTAAAGCTATCGTCTTGAAACTTTGCACACACCCTTCTTTCCTTTGCACGCAGTATATAAGTCGGAACGACCGGGATCGGTCCACTAAAACCTAAAACTGTCATAAAAATTATTAATTAGAAAAAGGAAAAACTGATGGGCATTAATTTTTCAGAGTTAGACAGTTCGAATTTCGCATGAGTGCTATTTTTAGCAAAATAGTACGACCTTCCAAAATTCATAAGGATCGGTCGACTATATTCTATAGCTGCCATATAACTGATTGATCGGAAATGGCATAACTTTGGGGTTTTTTGAGCTAGAAAGTTGGGATTTTCTATGGGTTCTATTTTTGGCAAAATAATACGACTTATCAAGTTTCGTAGGGATCGGCCGACTATATCCTATAGCTGTCATATAACTGATTGATCGGAAATGGCATAACTTTGGTGTTTTTTGAGCTAGAAAGTTGGGATTTTCTATGGGTTCTATTCTTGGCAAAATAATACGGTATGTCGTATTATACTTTTATAAGGAACTTTTATAAGGATCTGCCGACTATATCCTACAGCTGCCATTTAACTGATTAT